CCCCCCCCCCCCCACTTTCAGTCCTATTGATATAAAACATGAGGATTTGGGTGAAGGGCGGTTTTTGAAGTGGAAGCAGGACACACCAGAAGCGAAATATATATGAGATAAAGTCATATGACTTGCTTTATATGCTATTACTACTTTGATACAATTTAAAAGAAACACCATGATAAAATTTAACGAAACAAATGCCGGGGTTAATTGTATTGAAATAAACTAATTTATGTGGTGATTTTTAAAATATATTTTTTTCTTTCTGAACAGAATTTTCGGGACCTTGTCAAACTTTCCAGACTTTTCCAAGGCATTCAAGTGTTCGGATAAGAAAATAATGAATCCATTAGAAAGATGTGCCTTGTGGTAACACACCATTTAATCCATTCGAAAAATGTGCTATGTGGTAACACCTCAATGAATCCATTGTATAGATGTCTTGAGTGGTTAACATACCAATAAATCTATTAATAGATGTGCTAATGTGTTAACATCCCCCAGGATTCCACACGCTGACACAAACCAAACGATAACAAGAAGATATTGAATCGGTCCATGCACATGATCTATGTAACCCTTGAACTACTGGTCACTCGGTCCAGCTTAATGACAAATAGAGTTGAACATTATTTACCTACATTACAAAGGTTAAGCAAAAGACACTATTTTCTTCTAGGGTTAGCTAAAAATAAACAGATAAAAAATATTGACATCACCGGTTTGAAAACAGTCCAGTAAATCAAAAATTACAAGCAACACCAGCAACTTTAACAATCACCACCACTAGCACCAGCAATGTAACCAACCTCAACAACACCACTAGCACCAGCAATTTAACCAACCTAAACAACACAACTAGCACCAGCAATGTAACCAACCACAACAACACAACTAACACCAGCAATGTAACCACCCTCAACAACAATACCACCAGTAGTACCAGCAATGTAACCGACCTCACAACACAACTAGCACCAGCAATGGAACCAACCTCAACAACAACATCACCAGTAGTACCAGCAATGTAACCAACCTCAACAACACAACTAGCACCAGGCAATGTAACCAACCTTACAACACATCTAACACCAGCAATTTAACCACCCTTAACAACACAACTAGCACCAGCAATTTAACCAAACTTAACAACACAACTAGCACCAGCATTTAACCAACCTCAACAACACAACTAGCACCAGCAATTTAACCAACCTTAACAACACAACTAACACCAGCAATTTAACCAAACTTAACAACACAACTAGCACCAGCAATTTAACCAAACTTAACAACACATCTAACACCAGCAATTTAACCAAACTTAACAACACATCTTACACAAGCAATTTAACCACCCTCAACAACACAACTATCACCAGCAATTTAACCACCCTTAACAACACAACTATTACCAGCAATTTAACCAACCTTAACAACACATCTAACACAAGCAATTTAACCAACCTTAACAACACATCTATCACCAGCAATTTAACCACCCTTAACAACACAACTATCACCAGCAATTTAACCAACCTTAACAACACATCTTACACAAGCAATTTAACCACCCTCAACAACACATCTATCACCAGCAATTTAACCAACCTTAACAACACAACTATCACCAGCAATTTAACCAACCTTAACAACACATCTAACACAAGCAATTTAACCAACCTTAACAACACAACTATCACCAGCAATTTAACCAACCTTAACAACACAACTAGCACCAGCAATTTAACCACCCTTAACAACACGACTAGCACCAGCAATTTAACCAACCTTAACAACACATCTAACACAAGCAATTTAACCAACCTTAACAACACAACTATCACCAGCAATTTAACCAACCTTAACAACACAACTATCACCAGCAATTTAACCAACCTTAACAACACATCTTACACAAGCAATTTAACCAACCTTAACAACACAACTAACACCAGCAATTTAACCAACCTCAACAACACATCTAACACCAGCAATTTAACCAACCTTAACAACACAACTAGTACCAGCAATTTAACCAACCTTAACAACACATCTAACACCAGCAATTTAACCAACCTCAACAACAAAACTAGCATCAGCAATTTAACCAATCTCAACACCACCACCACCACCAATTTCACCAGCAATTTAACCAACCTCAACAACAGAACCATCAATAGCGAACTACCACTGCAACCAACCTAACCAACATAAACTCATCTACAGCAGCACCAAAACTGAGACAGTTTACATCAACTAACACATTGACTAAACCATCCCCACTACCAGCTGCAGAGCCACTGCCACAGTTAACACCAACCAAGACATTGACTAAACCACCACTGCCAGTACATACCAGCTACCACATTGACTAAACCAATACCACCACCAGCAGCACCAGCATTGCCACAGTTAACACAAGCTACCACATTGACCAAACCAACATCATCAGCAGCAGCACCACCACCACTGCCACAGTTAACACTAGCTACCATTTTGACAAACCACCACTATCACCAGCAGCAGCACCCCTGCTACAGTTAACACCAGCTACCATATTGACTAAACCAACATCATCAGCAGCAGCACCACCACCACTGCCACAGTTAACACTAGCTACCACTTTGACAAACCACCACTATCACCAGCAGCAGCACCCCTGCTACAGTTAACACCAGCTACCACATTGACTAAACCACCACCACCACCAGCAGCACCAGCACTGCAACAGTTAACACCAGCTACCACATTGACTAAACCAACATCATCAGCAGCAGCACCACCACCACTGCCACAGTTAATACTAGCTACCACTTTGACAAACCACCACTATCACCAGCAGCAGCACCCCTGCTACAATTAACACCAGCTACCACATTGACTAAGCCACCACCATCACCACTGCTACAGTTAACACCAGCTACCACATTGACTAAACCACCACCATCACCACTGCTAAGGTTAACACCAGCTACCACATTGACTAAACCACCACCATCACCACTGCTACAGTTAACACCAGCTACCACATTGACTAAACCATCACCACTGCCACAGTTAACACCAGCTACCACATTGACTAAACCAGTTAACACCAGCTACCACATTGACTAAACCACCACCATCACCACTGCTACAGTTAACACCAGCTACCACATTGACTAAACCATCACCACTGCCACAGTTAACACCAGCTACCACATTGACTAAACCACCACCATCACCACTGCTACAGTTAACACCAGCTACCACATTGACTAAACCACCACCATCACCACTGCTACAGTTAACACCAGCTACCACATTGACTAAACCATCACCACTGCCACAGTTAACACCAGCTACCACATTGACTAAACCACCACCATCACCACTGCTACAGTTAACACCAGCTACCACATTGACTAAACCACCACCATCACCACTGCTACAGTTAACACCAGCTACCACATTGACTAAACCATCACCACTGCCACAGTTAACACCAGCTACCACATTGACTAAACCACCACCATCACCACTGCTACAGTTAACACCAGCTACCACATTGACTAAACCACCACTATCACCACTGCTACAGTTAACACCAGCTACCACATTGACTAAACCATCACCACTGCCACAGTTAACACCAGCTACCACATTGACTAAACCATCACCACTGCTACAGTTAACACCAGCTACCACATTGACTAAACCATCACCACTGCCACAGTTAACACCAGCTACCACATTGACTAAACCATCACAATCACCACTGCTACAGTTAACACCAGCTACCACATTGACTAAACCATCACCATCACCACTGCTACAGTTAACACCAGCTACCACATTGACTAAACCACCACCATCACCACTGCCACAGTTAACACCAGCTACCACATTGACTAAACCACCATCACCACCACTGCTATGGTTAACACCAACTAAGACATTAACTAAACCACCACCATCACCACTGCTACAGTTAACACCAGCTACCACATTGACTAAACCACCATCATCACCACCACTGCTATGGTTAACACCAGCTAAGACATTAACTAAACCACCACCATCACCACTGCTACGGTTAACACCAGCTAAGACATTAACTAAACCACCACCATCACCAGCAGCAACAGCACCTCTGCTACAGTTAACACCAGCTACCCATTGACTAAACCAAAATGACACCATAAAAGAACCCAATACATTAGAACTTCTCAATTGAAACAGTCCATATCAAAATTTAGACCCACCCCCACCCCCCCCCCACCACCATCAACACACACACACAGACACAAACACACTTGTAATTTTAATCCAGTTGCAAAAATAGATTATGGTACCTAATCTTGTCCAGTTGCTAAATAGATTATGGTACCTAATCTTGTCCAGTTGCTAAATAGATTATGGTACCTAATCTTGTCCAGTTTTTTCCAATATGTTAATAACTGTAGTGTCATAATAAAATATTTCAAGTTATTTGAGTGTTGACCAATTTCGTTGACCAAATGAAATATTATTTCTGTTGAGTTGAAAGAACTTCGCTCACTCGGGACAAGAAACGAGTGTTAACAATTGTGCTAACTCAGAACATACAGGTAAAAGATTGTTAACAATTTTGCTAACTCGGCACAAAAGAAAGATTTTGAACAATTTTGCTAACTCAGCACATAAAATTTGTTTTAAATGTTTTTAATCTGCAAAAAAAAAAAAAAACGATTTTTAAAAAAATTGTGCTAACTCTGCGCATGTATCACCACTGCCACAGTTAACACCAGCTACCACATTGACTAAACCACCACCATCACCACTGCTACAGTTAACACCAGCTACCACATTGACTAAACCACCACCATCACCACTGCTACAGTTAACACCACCTACCACATTGACTAAACCACCATCACCACCACTGCTATGGTTAACACCAACTAAGACATTAACTAAACCACCACCATCACCACTGCTACAGTTAACAAAAGCTACCACATTAACTAAACCACCACTATCACCATCACTGCTATGGTTAACACCAGCTAAGACATTAACTAAACCACCACCATCACCACTGCTACAGTTAACACCAGCTAAGACATTAACTAAACCACCACCATCACCACCACTGCTATGGTTAACACCGCATTGACTAAACCACCATCATCACCAGCAGCACCACCACTGCCACAGTTAACACAAGCTACCACATTAACTAAACCACCACCATCACCCCTGCTACAGTTAACACCAGCTACCACATTGACTAAACCACCATCATCACCACCACTGCTATGGTTAACACCGCATTGACTAAACCACCATCATCACCAGCAGCACCACCACTGCCACAGTTAACACAAGCTACCACATTGACTAAACCACCACCATCACCACTGCCACAGTTAACACCAGCTACCACATTGACTAAACCACCTACATCACCAGCAGCAACACCACTGCCACAGTTAAAAAACACCAGCTACCACATTGACTAAACCACCACCATCACCAGCAGCACCACCACTGCCACAGTTAACACGAGCTACCACATTGACTAAACAATCACCATCACCAGCAGCACCACCACTGCCACGGTTAACACCAGCTACCAAATTGACTAAACCACCTACATCACCAGCAGCAACACCACTGCCACAGTTAACACCAGCTACCACATTGACTAAACCACCACCATCACCACTGCCACAGTTAACACCAGCTACCACATTGACTAAACCACCTACATCACCAGCAGCACCACCACTGCCACGGTTAACACCAGCTACCACATTGACTAAACCAACACCAGCTACCACATTGACTAAACCACCGCCAGCACCACTGCTACAGTTAACACCAGCTACTACATTGACTAAACCATCATCATCACCACTGCCACAGTTAACACCAGCTACCACATTTACTAAACCACCACCATCACCACTGCTACAGTTAACACCAGCTACCACATTGACTCAACCACCACCATCACCACTGCTACAGTTAACACCAGCTACCACATTGACTAAACCACCACCATCACCACTGCCACAGTTAACACCAGCTACCACATTGACTAAACCACCACCATCACCACTGCTACAGTTAACACCAGCTACCACATTGACTAAACCACCACCATCACCACTGCTACAGTTAACACCA